TATTGAAAAAAATTTTAAACCAGGTTTTGAATTTAGATAAATAATTTTTTAAGAAAGAAATTTGAAATATTTAAAAAAATATTTTTTTAGAAATATTAAGAGAAATATTAATATAAAATTTGTTATCATTTTGAATCTTAAAAATAACTAATTAATATTATTCTTACTAATATAATAGTATAGTTTAAAATAAATAAAATAAAATTTAAGATCTTTATAAAATTTTTTTATATAAATAATTTTATATTTATCATGAAGAATAAAATATAAATAAGCTAAGTTAAAAGTTACTTGTTTTCAGTTAGTAGTAATATATAAGAAAATAAAGTTATAAGAGTCAAAAATTTTTGGATAATTCAGTTAAGTAAATAGAATTATAGTAAATTCTTAAAAAAAAAAAGATAAAGATAAAATAAATTAATTCAAATAAAATAAATATAGATTTGTTAATTAAAAGATTTGCTTTATAGATAAAATTAGTTAAAAATTTAAGTTTTTTGCCTATTAAAATTTTAACTAAGTATTTGTAATTTAGTTTTAATTTAGAAGTTTTATCAAATACTAGTTAGATAATTTTTTCTGAATAAATATTAATAAGATAAGGTTTAATAAAGATAAGTAATTGTTAAATAATAGAGTTATTAAGTTTGATGTTATTATTTATAGAATTAGTTACTAAATATTCTTTAAATCAGTCAAAATTATTGTTAATGTCTTGTTATGTTTCTTTTTTCTTTTGTTTTTATTATTAAAAATACTATTGTAAATTAGTTTTTTTGTTTTTTTTTAAAAGAAGGGATTTAAAAAGTTGGGTCTTTTTATTAAAGTTTATTTATTAAATTTTAATAAAAACAAAAATTAGTTGTTATTTAAAAATAAGAAAAGGAATAATTTGTTTTTTAAAAGTAAAAAAAAATGTCTGGATGTTTAAGCTAATTAGTTTGAATTTGATTAAGCCTATAGCTATTTGCTATTGGAATGTAAAAAGAGAGGTTTGTTTCAAAAGTTTAAGTTTAATATCTAATAAACTAAAAACACAAAGTCTATAAATTAGGTTTTGTTTAAAAATTATGCAAATTGTATAGTCAGAAACATAACTATATTGTTCTATAACCATATAAGAAATATTTTTAATTTTATATATAAGAAATGTATGATAGTATTAGAAGTATGTAATAATTACAAAAAATGTAGGGTTTATTTGAAAATTAGAAAATAATATATAGAATTTGAAATAAAATAAGTCAAATTGCTGTTGTTTAGAAGTAGATGATTAAAATAGTTTATTAGAGATTTTTCTAAATTGATTAATAGAGATAATAAAAATAGTTTAAGTCATAGATTATTTAAAAGATGTTAAATAAAGAATTCTGTAAAACTGAGAAATAAAACTAGTATGATATGCTTCATAAAGATATGTAGCAATAGTAAATTATTAAAAAACTTTAAAGTAATAATGTTTTTTAGAAACTGTATTACAATTAATTAGATTAATATCTGTAAGATGTATATATAAAGATTGAGATTTTCTTTCAACTCTTCCTATATTATAATGATCTTTGTATTTGATATAATAATAGTCAATATTATAGAAGTTAGAATCTTTAAAGACTAAAATAAATATAGTTTAAGGTTTAGAAAATAGAAATAGTATAGACAACAAAGATTTTTATATAAAGTAATCTAAAAAATATAGAGTATAATAGTTAAAAAGATATAATAAATAATAGGCATGACAAATAAGAGATATGATAAGTAAAAAATATAACAAATAAGCAGTTATAACAAATAAGAAGCTGTAACAAACAGAGTGTACAGATTAAGTAGTTACAATAATTAATATTAAAAGAATTTTGTGTTAATAAAAGCAAAAATAGAAAAAGTTAAAATTTGTGTTAAGTTAATTAAAACAAGAAATAAATTTATATAATTTGATTAATAATGTAAATTATTGATAAAGATCTGCAGATGTTGGACATCCTATAAAACAGAATTCTTTAAAAAAAGAAAAAAAATTTTTAGTAAAAAAAACATAAGTTTTGTAAAGAAGTTTTAAAAATTTATATACAATCTTTAATATTAATCTAATATTTGATATATAATATATTAAATTAAAACTTTAAATAAGTTCTGTTATTTTGTTTTAGACAACAACTAATATTAGATTAATAAAATATTGAAATATTTTAAAAAAAGTATCTTACAGTTTAAAAGATATAAAACTAAACTATTTATATATAAAATTCTAATGTAAACAATTTTACTTAAAAGACCAAAAAGGTTTACTTAATAAATTATTTAGTAATTATCAGTTTATTATTAAAGAGTTTTAATATAAATAATTGTTAAAAAAGTTAATTAAAGTAATAATTTAATTCTATTATTATACTTTATAATATCTTTTTATTTTTTACTTTTACTAAAACTATTAGTTATTAGTAATTATTGCTTTTATTGTAATTTAATTATAGTTATGTAACTTGTACAAAGTAAGTGTACAACTAGTCACATATATAGCTTTTGGTTATTTAAATAGTTCATCTATAGGTTCTACATTAGCTATCATACTTGTAATCTGCTAAAAGATTATCTAATTAAATATTCTGATCTTTATACTATATCTAACAGATAGCATATAAATTTTTATACATTTAAGTATTATCTAACCTACTTCTAACCTTTTTGTTTATATATCTGTTAAGTTGTTACATATTTTAAAATACATCATCTAAATGTAAAGTTTCAAAAAACTCTTCTGCTAACTAACTATTCACATTTAGTTCTTGTTAACAAAATTTGCCCTTATAGAGTTTATCCAAACCTCAATATTTACTTTATAATATATCTATAGTACTTATAGTATACTCTTGCTTTTATTATTATATTTTTAATTTAGATAGTCTAGAAGGATTGTAACCTGTTTCTGATATATTGGAGTTATAATATTTAATATTCTTTTTCTTTAGTTTAAGACTTTTGATAATCTGATTGGTAGTATTCTTTATCTAAAATTCTTGTCTGCCTAATTCTTTCACATTAATATCTATTTTCTAGGTTTAGCCTTTATAGTAATATTATTAAAGATTCATGTTATCTCTCTATTCAGATAGGCTCTAACTTTCCAGTTCTATAGATTTATATAGTTATAAAAACTTATCTTAAATTTGCATCACCTATTACTGATATGAATTTTTTTATATAACCAGTTACACAGATGTTTCATGTCTTGCCAGATATGCTAATATGACCATAGTTATAGGTATCTTATTCCAACTAATCAACAGAATGCTATTACTATAATACTATTTATATATTATATAAATAATTATATAAATTTTCATCATTAATAAGTTTTAAATTTACAACCTACTACTTAGAAGGTTGACAACTTATTTACTTTACTAAGTCATTATATATCTTTTTTATAATATTTTAAAAACTATTAAATTTAAATTTTTTTTTTTTTAATATTTGTTTATTATTTTATTTATTATTTTATTTATTTTTTTTTAAATAAAGATTTTCTACTTAGCATATATTAATTATAAAATTTGTTACAGCTTAGTAGTTTTTAATAAATTTTATTAAAATACTTATTTTATTAAAATAATCTTAATATCTAAAAAATTTTATTAAAAACAAAATTTAGAAAAAATTTAAAATAATTACAACAAAATAAAAGCATTTTAATACTAAAATAAAAAATATATATAACTAAAATCTAATGTTTTTTAGAAAAAACATACAGTGACCTTAAACAGTTTTTGTGAAAATAACTAAGTAAAAGTTAAATTAGTTAGTTCTTATATTCGCTAAATCTAAAAAAAAACTTTATTATAATAAACTATTGTTTTATTAGTTGAAATTTCTAAAACATAATATAGAACCAATTTAGCAGAACATATTTTATTAAATAACTTAAGTAAACTTTTATTAGAATAAATACATATAAGCAGAATTAGGGATTATATTATTGATAATATCTTATGAGCCAGTAACTGAGTTTTGTAAAATAATAAAATTTAAGATCATTATCGATTATAATAGGCTAACCATCGCGCGTTAAAATGTAACCAATTATTTAATTTCATGTGATTGACAATCCCAGACATTTTATTGGTGCTACGAGAATTGTCCACTATTCTCAGATTCCGCAGGTCCCTGGTACAGTGAAATTTTTTTGATTTTCAGAAAATACCATTTTCTAATAATATTATCATACTATATTATATAAGTATAATGGTTGTGCACTATCACAATCACTAGCTAATCACATCGAGCATGCTGTTTGATTAACATTAATTCGGATCAATTTCTCGAATTTAACTCGAATCCAATCACTCACTAATTAAAGTATACTTTCTTTAGTCCAACCCGAATTAGCTATTCGGATAAGATCACATCAAGATTTATAGTTGTTCACATAAATTTAGGGACAATAAAAAATTTGCCGATATTGATTTCAACTCCGAACTTATAGATCCGGCCATCAGGCATCCCAGAATTATGAAATCTAGTTTAATCCCAACCAACCTTTGTTCGAAGGTTATAACTTCTATCACAAGGAAAATTAGCACCCATGTTTAATATAAAAACGACCTGAAATAAATAATGCCCTAATTTCCAATGTGAGACAAAACCTTGAGCATAACTCGGATCCCATGATTATGTAACGTGATGACACCTTTAACGAACAAACACTTATGTTTACAGTTATAGAATGATTCATTTATCAGCCTCGTTTATCTCTAACATTTCAAAATAACGCATTAGCTTCTCAAAATAAATGACACGTAATGATGGCAAAATAAAGTAATATAAAAAAAATCTTAATTTGATAATGTTGTAATGTTTTACAATAGCTAAAATAAAAAATAAATCAAACTGAAAACTCTTCACCGAGTTTACTTCCAAGTATGAAAAAATTCCATATATGAAGCATTTTCTATAGCAGCCACAAACTCATAACACCATCTAATTCTTCAAATTTAATATTAATGATGCTGTCTTGGAAATTCACAACTTTACTTCTTCTGTTCTCTTTGCTGTTTAATGTTGTGTTCACTTCTCCAATTGAAGTAGCACGAATCCGTAAAAAGTGTCGCGGTAAATTTTTTTATGTTCTTACAATAATTGATTTCGACCTTAATATACGACTATTTTCATTATATACATATATGTGCACACGAAATAGGTCTACAGGTCGTCTACCCGGCTCGTAGTGGAATTATTTACAGAGATGGTGAATCCCAATGGGTAATGCTTCGATCCAGAGGCATTCACTCCGATCCGGTCATCTTGGTCAATAGAATTCGACTTTACTACGTTGAACCTGATACAGAGAATTATAAAGTTGTTAAAACTCTTAGTACCGTAACTAAACCCGTGCGTAAAGGTTCTATTACGAATTTTAAAATTAAATTATCTATTCCAAAGAAATTTGAGATTCCTGGTAGATACTTCTACAGGATTTATGGCATGACTATTAGTGGTAGAACTTGCTACGTTGATAGTGTTAAATTCAACATTATGTAGGTTAATAAGATGAATAGTTCATGTGGTTCATGTTTAAAGGTGTCATGTTTTTGATGGTATATATTTTGTGAAAAATTTCAATAAAATATTGTAATAGCTGAAAAGAATTCCAACATATTGGTGTATATTCAGAAGTTCGGTTTAAATTATTGCAAATTTTGTTACATAACTGAGAGTGCAAATGAAATATGCATCCGGAAAAGCCAAATTATTAATCTTATTGTACCAAGTGTGTGAAATCCAATGTTCTCAATGTTCTCTAAGAACACAAAAATTTCAGGTTATACACGTTCTTGTGAAAGCATAAAATTAAATTCGAGTCTTATACACTGATTGTACCAATAGAATATGTGAATTGGGTACACATATTTCTAGTATACAAGAAAATTTTTTTTCAATAACTGTTTTTAAGCAATATTACAAGTAAAACTTTGATTATCCTAATAAAGCAAAAGGTTAATAATTTTTACTTCAATTTTTTTAAAAGACGATAAATTTTTTTAAAAAATAATAAGTCAAAACTATCTTGTATTTTTTAGAAATTACTAATTTTCCCACCACTTCTTATTTGTTCTACTAGTTATTCACATATCGGAATATCTCTGTTATTAATCAATTTTATAGCTCTCCAATAGTGAAATGGTGAAAGAAATTAGAGCACCTAATTTTTTAAACCGGTTTTAGTACCACAGTTGCTATATCTCAAAAATTGACAAATTAACTAATATCAGATATATTACAGTGCTTTTCAAATTGTTGTGATCAGCAGATAATCAACCATTATATGAAAATCCGATATTTTTTTTTGGTGTTAAGGTACCTTTTGGGTCAGGAGTTTTTATTAATACTTTTTGGAACATGGCTGTTTACATGGTACAGTAATAATCCAAAATGAGCATACAACTAATTACACATGTAATTTTTCTATATTACCTATTTAAAAAGTTTGCTTAAAGATTTTTTACTAATTGTTATACTTAATACTTTTGCTTGGGTGTTTTATTTTAAATCTTTTGATTCTAACTTCTCATACTAATGTTATCAGATTATGAGAGTTTTTGTTCTTCTTCATTATCAGATTATTATTACTTATAACATATTTATTCTCAAGATATATTTATTAGAGTCTTTCATAGTTTATTTTATAGCTGATCTAGTTTTCAACTTTTATAAAGTTTATACAACTTTAGTATTCTCTTTTACAAATTCATTAGTATCTTATTTATTTTTTTAAGTTCTTTTATATTATTAATTTAGTTAGTTTTATTTAATATAATTTTATATTCAAATCAATTGGTAGTCAGATTATTGCCATTTTTATTTAAGAGTTTTAGTTATATAGATTATTTGGCTTAGATGTTTTTTCTAAATTAAAATCTTTATAGATAATACTATTGAAGATTGTACTATTTTTCATTCAGAATTTCTAAGCAGATTTTTTATTCAAGTATATATTTTCTAAATTTATTTATATAATATTACACATTTTTTAAGTTAGTCTTAATATAATTAAAATTACAGAGTTACAACTTTTAGATTTTTGAATAAGTTGTTAAAATAAAATTATTTTTCTAAATTTAGAATTTGAATTTTAAACCTACTGCTTAAAAAATGATAACTCAACTATTATATTAAGATTATTATCTTTTATAAAAATCTAAATTTAACTTTTTTTATAAATAAAAATAATTATTATTTATATTACAAATTTTTGTTATTTGCATTATAGTAACTAATATTAATAAAAATCTATTTATTAAAAAATAATAAATTTGTATAGTAGTTAGGTTATTATTCTCCAAGCAATAAATTATAAATATAAATTTTACTGATAATAAAATTTTAATTTATTTATAAAAATCATCTATTTTTACTATAAATTTTTGCTATTTCTATTATAGTATATTAAATATATTTTATTTTTAATTAATTAATTAAATTTTAAGAAATATATTTTTTAAAATAAAGAAGTTTTTAATAAGTAAAGTTTTCTTGAATTTTTAATTAAAATTATAAAGTTAATGATAATTAAATTATTAAAATCAATCTAATAGATTTTAAGATATTGGAAATCAAAAATAAGAGCAAAAAAATCTACAAATTGTTAGTTATACAAAATGCTGTTATGAATAGAACTTTGTGTAACTGATAATTTATAGATTTTTTTACTCTTATTTTTGATTCCAAATATCTTTAAATTTACTAAGTTGATTTTAATGATTTAATTATTATTAGAATTAAAAAAACAAGTTTTACAACTTTAATTAAAAGTTCAAAAATTTTTTACTTATTAGATTTTAGAGTTAGAGTTAATAAAAAAAATTTTATTAAATCTTAAAAGATTTATATATATTATTATTATAAAAACTAAAAATAGAAAATATTATATAACTATAATGAAAATAGTATCTTTTTATTTATTATTTAAGATATAAAACCTTATATTTTTGATTATACAAAACTAATTTTAAAAGTATACAATATTATATAAATAAACTATATAGTATATACTTAGATAAATATTTGTTTAAAAATCTTAAAAAGAAAAGTAATATAATTTTTAATAATATTATATGTAAAGATTTTGATCTAGAAAAAAAAACCTAAAACAGATAATCTATATAGACAAAAACTTTTAAATAGAAGATATTATCAATTTGGTTATTAATTAATTTAAATATAAAGTTACATTATATAAAGCTAACTAGATTAGTAATTTTGTTATAAGTAAAAGTTCTTTTAATTTTATACTATAATAATAATATAGTACAAAGAATCTCTTATAGATATATGCAGTATTCAAAAGAAAAGTATAGTTTCTGTTAGATATTGTTAAAAAACTATATCCTTCTCTAAAGCAGTTCAGAAAAGGTAATGCAATACTAATAACTTTATTTTATTTTATTAAGAGAAGATAAACCTTGCCTGTAGAAATTATTTTAGAGAAAAAGTATTAATACAGTTTATAGTCAAAAGCCATTTATTAAAGTAATAACAAGAAGGGTTATCCTTAGGTTTCTGTTTCAAAAAAATATTAAGATGTGTTTATAATATTAAAAAAAAAGAAATGTGTCTATTTCTTAATCATATTTGAGGAATTTAGCAGAGTTTATATATCTGTAAGCTAAACAGCTAAATAACTAAGCAACTAAGTGACTAAATGGCTAAATAACTAAGCATTAAGCAACTAAGTGACTAAGCAACTAAGTGATTAAATAGGAGTGTAGCCCTATAGCTTAGTGGTTTAGCTTTTATACCCTCTACAATCAAGATCAATAGTTCAAGTCTGATTAGAGGCCAAATTAAAAGATTTTAGCTTTTGTAACCTAATAAGAAGCCTGTAATTAAATATAAAACTCTGTAGTTAAGTTCAAGTGCAGTACAATAATGGAAATAAGAATTCTCAAAAGGAGACCCAATTGTGGAATGCAGGCACTATGCATAACAAGTGGTTGTTACATAAGATTACAGTTATAGAAAGATTGCGCATATAAGTTCTTTAGGCTAAGGCAGCATTAACATTCTTATATCTCCTAATATAGACAGTACCAACATTCTTGCACCTAATTTGTAGAATACTTGCTTAGAAGGATAATCAACAGATTATGCAAATAAGTCTTAATTAGGATTCAAGAAGAGGATTTGATTGGGAGAGTATTCTGAAAGTAACCAAGACTAGAATGATAAGAGAAGTGATGAACATAAGAACAGACTGTAATAAAGAATTGGTCTAATCAAAAAATTGGAAGCATCTCTTGTACAGCTAAATAATCTAATTATAGAAGGAAAAAATCTTGGAGGTTGGCATATAACTTCCTTGTGTAATATAAAAATACCAAATCAGGTTTCTGATCATATCTATATAGAAGTCTATAATAAACAAGACTGGGATTAACCAACCAATATAAGATAAGATCTACAAGGTAGTATGGCATTACTGAGTTTAGTGTAACTCCCTAAGGCATAATCAGAATTGTCCTACAGATATTATCGAATAAGCTGAAAGCTTGCAATATATGATAGTATAATATTACTAGGATCAAAAAAACTCCCTAAGTATAATCAAAATTGTCCTGTTTGTAAGTACAACAAGTCTCAGTCCCCATCATAGAAGGGAGCACCATGTTGGAGATTAAATGCAGCATCGAGTTACTGTATAATGTTAAGACCTGGGGTATCTGCAGAAACAGCAACAGCAGACCTAGCTTGAGATATAAATTGGTCAAAAGACCAATGGCAGCAGCAGATCTGGCTTAAGATACAGGTTTTTTGCAGATTTTGAACTATTGTTGAAACACCTTAGAGAAATCAATAATAGGTATACCAAAGATAGAAAGATTATAAGGATCAAACATACCCAAGTAGGATCAATTTGGAAGTAATACAGTAACAAAAAGGTAAGAAATGTAGGAAACAAGGTAATACTAGATATAGTTAGATTAAAAGGCAGAAGAAACAAAATCAGATAAAACATGTAAGTGAAATATATAGATACAATTTACAGAAAACAGTACCTCTGGCATTTGGAATACTATATTAAGTTCAGTAGGTATTCTTGTCTGTATAGTGATTTAATAGTATATCCTGACTGCAAGTAGTTGTTAAGATAACTGCATGTGGTGGACATGCACTTAGGTGCCATATGGGTAACTGAGTGAAGTCAGTAGTATAAAATTAGATAGTATATAGTACTAGTAATAATTGACAACAACTTTTGGAATTCTTTACTTACAAAATCCAAACTATTTCTCCAAATTATAACATCCTATATGCTATTAACCAAAAAATTAATTATCTAGATACAACATTCTTCTGTTCCTTTACAAAAACAAAAGCTACAGCTCCACAACATCAAAAAGAATTCAACTTCTTATATCAAATCACTCTTGAAAAATACAAAAAATTACACAATGCTATTTTGATCAACAAAGTTAATAGAGATCAAATTCTCAAAAAACTCAAAATTAAACTTGCTTTGGATTATATTAGAAATCTAGATT